GGCCCTTTTCATACAACGCGATAAATGACGCGGCTATGAATTCGCCCTTCGTTTGTTTTTTTAGTTCAGTCAATGGGAGCGGTCGCAATGTGAAAGTCCGATCACGGCTCGTTTGGACGTTGTTGGCGACACTTTTTGCACGCGATACTTGTACCCTCACAGCTACAGCACCATCATCACCACCACCACAACCAGCAGGTCGGCTAAACTCACGATCAACTCGACCAACCTGTTTATATCTAAACAAAGACAAAGATCCCCCGTGTAGCCTTGACGGACTGTCGGGACAAGTGCCGTGAGCGAGCATCGCCAAAGAACGCCGGCACGGAAAACGTCCGGGAGCTTTGGGGTCGCCAGCACCACTCCCGGCCGCCTTTGTCTCCCCAGTGGCGATGTTTACACACACCAGCACCGGGTATTCATTTGAGGCCGAGTCGAATTAGAGGAGGCCCGGGACCGGTTCGGATAAATCGTCACCGGTATTGGTTGGCCGTGAGCGGTGAATCGAACTCGGGTCGCCGGGTTCGTAGCGCAGTGCGCTAACCGCGACACTACCGCTCCCCACGAAACAAAGACAAAGATTCAACCGTGTAGCCTTCACAGACCGTTGGGAAAAAGTGCTGTTCGCGAGCACCTATGAAGCAACCCCCGCCCGGCCGCCTTTGTCTCCCCGGTGACGATGTTTACACACATCGCACCAGGTATTCATTTAAGGCTGAGTCGACCCAGGGGAGGCCCAAGACCGGTTCAGATCATCGTCACTGGGTGTTTGTTGGTGGCCGTGAGCCGGAGAAATGGAACTCGGGGCCGCCGGGTTCGTAGCGCAGCGCGCAACGCGCCACCGCTCCCCACTAAGGACACACACCACGTGCGCGCCCAAGGATGATCACGATCGTTGCGACACCGCGTGCGGTGGGGCCCTTTTGTCATTGGTGGACTACCGGTGGCTCTCCAGCGAGGACGCGAAGGGAGAGCGACACTCCTCGACTCAAAACCGCTCGGGACCCGCGCGTCTTTGTAACCTTCAGCTCGGGTAAAAGTCGCGCAGCATCTCGGTAAGAGCGATGGGATTTATTTTTGTGTGCGTCTTCCCGACCGCTCTTCATCGTCGACTAAAGTAAAATATGGCACACACACACGCGTGTGTGTGTGTGTGTTTCCCCCCTAACCTCCCTCGCTCTATGCGGTAGTAGTGGTAGTAGTAGTAGATGCGTTCCCAAAAAAAAGGGCACGTACACACACACAAAGTGAAACCGCATGAGGAGACAGCTGCCTGCCGAGTCGCACACACAGTACACACACATAGTACACGGTACACACACAGTACACGCACAGTAGACAGTACACACAGACAGTACACATAGTAGACAGTACACACAGACAGTACACACACAGTAGACAGTACACACATAGTACACACACAGTATACACACACAGTACACGGTACACACACAGTACACGGTACACACACAGTACACGCACAGTAGAAAGTGCACACACAGTACACACAGAGTAGACAGTACACACACAGTACACACAGTATACGGTACACACAGTATACACACAGTACACGGTACACACAGTATACACACAGTAGACAGTACACGCACAGTACACACATACACAGGACACACACAGTAGACAGTACACACACAGTAGACACACAGCAGACAGTACACACAGTACACACACAGTAGACAGTACATACACAGTACACACAGTACACACATACACAGTACACACAGTACACACATACATAGTACACACAGTAGACAGTACACACACAGTAGACACACAGCAGACAGTACATACACAGTACACACATACAGAGTACACACACAGTATACACACACATTACACACATACACAGTACACACACACAGTGCACACACCCGCAGTATAAACAGTACACACACACACACAGTACACACATACACAGGACACATACAGTAGACAGTACACACACAGTAGACACACAGCAGAGAGTACATACACAGTACACACACAGTACACACATACACAGTACACACACAGTAGACAAACACACAGTAGACAGTACACACAGTTCACAGTATACACACACACAGTACAAACACAGTGCACACACCCGCAGTATAAATAGTACACACACACAGTACACACACATAGTACAAACACAGTGCACACACCCGCAGTATAAATAGTACACACAGTACACGCACACAGTACACACACACATATAGTACACAAACAGTACACACACAGTACAGAGTGCAGACAGTACATACAGTACACATTACACGCACAGTACAGTGTATAAAACAGTACACGCACAGTACAGGCAGTGCACCCAAACAGTACATTCGTCTTCTTTGGGTCTTTCGGTAAAGCCACGCAGATAGAACAAATAATAGAAACAACAACAATATCATACATACATCACCCACACACGCAGTACACACGCAGTACGCTCACGATGTCGAGCGAATTTGGAAGCGCCTCCCGTGGCGACGCTCGGGGTAGAAAGTCGGCGACGGCCGCGCAGACTGCGGCAAGCCGCATAAAGCGAACCCCGCGTCGAGCGGAGAGGAATCCGTGCACGTTGAACACGGTGGGATCGGAGTTCTTCCCATCGCTCATTCGGCTGACGGAATTAACGCTGTGTGTGGTGCAGGCAAATTTCTGGCAGGCAAAATTTTCCGTTGGAAACTTGCCGCTTTGTGTATATATGTATAAAAAAAAATCCTAAAATTTTAATTTTGCAAATTAATTGTGCCCGAGATTTATTTTGAGTTATTCCTCAATCTCCTGCAAAAAAAAAGAATTTTTATTTAGTTTTTATAATATAATTGTGTGTATACTAGCAACGCACACGCGCGTCCTTTGGCCATGGCCGTCCGTCCACCCCTCCCTCCAGACAGCAGAACTGTATTTGTTTAACATATATATAATATAGTATTATTTGTACGTACATATATACGCAACGCACTTGACACGGAGTGGTGAAGTATGGTTAACCACGCCCCCCCCCATCCCCCACCCCTCCCTCCCATCATCCATGTCCGGCAACGTCGCGTGATGAGGCAACCTTCATCCAGCAGTGGATAACAAATAGCGATGTCTGCATTCGACGGTGATTACAATTGGTACTAAAACATACAAGGTTCAACAGTTTCATCAATGACTAAAAACGAACACGATATTTTTTTAAGTCGTATTTTGGTGCATTTTGCATATTTCCACCTCGAATTGATACTCAGAAGAAAGGATAACCATACAACAATGCCATTTGTAATTATCAATAGCAATAATTATTATTTTAAGTAACATTAAATACACGTAAAATATTTAAAATGTAAAACAAAACCGAATTGATTACTTAGAAAAATACAGCATCGGACGGTAAACGATCGTCGACATATGGGTCATAAGAACTATGGGTATTAAACTGTAACTCTTAATAATAATGATAACAATACAGTACAAACAATAATATCTTTTATAATAACACGATCATAATATTTATATGGGGTTCAAATTACAGCCGACGGTCGACTCAGCAGCCAATTACCTTCGTCATCATCATCACCAATCATTATTAGCCAGGGGTTGGATAAAATTAGTACCACATCGTGGGAAGTCCAACAGTGGTCGTAATATGTGGGCAGTCCTGACCTCCCGCCGTCCGGCCATGGGAATGTGGAATTTCCCACGAACCCGTTCAGGACAAGCAAACAAAATCAACACGAACGAGGTACGAGACGGACCGCTCCAATTGCGCTCCCTTCAGCACGCTTCTGCTGACGTCATAATCATCATCATCACTCAACATCGTCATCATCACTCATCATCACCATCATCATCATCATCGTCGTCGTCTCTCCGACATGTCATCGGGTCGCGCTGTTCCACATCGTGCCCGACGTTTCGCTCCACGTGCCCGGGATATTTCTTCATGCAATAGTTGCGGGATCGTCCATTTGAAATAGTTATTTTGACGTTCGCATTAAGCGGTTTTCGATTTTGCCGGCAGGGCTCTTATTATTTGTAGCGGTTTTTATTTTTTCTTCGTACGGCGGGGGGGTCCTCGCTCGACGTGCAGTTATGGTTCACGAAGCAGCGCGTGTTCGTTCCAACGCGCTTAGTCCATTCGGGAACACTTGTCGCTACAACGGTGTAACGTGCGCGCCCTTATAACGTGTCACGTGCACCGTTATAACACGGAATGTGCCCCTTGTAACGTGTAACATGCAGCGTTATAACACGGAAGCGCCCCTTATAACGTGGAACGCGCCCTTTATAACACGGAATGTGCCCCTTACAACGTGGAACGCGCCCTTTATAACACGGAATGTGCCCCTTACAACGTGGAACGCGCGCCTCTTGTAACACGATTTCTGAGCGATCGATGGCGGACTATTTTTTTTGCGCGGCCGAGCGTGATGATACGACGTTTGTGTCTCCCGCCATGGGATGCGTTGCAGGCTGAGTTTACAGGCACCAATGTGACCAATTTCGGGAACAACTCGCTTTTTCGCGGTACTTTTCAGGAACGCATCTACTGCGTTAAATGAAGGATTACCGCACTCGGGGTTTTTATGCGATTAGTTCTTACCGATTAGGTGAGATGATCTCTGCAGTTCTTCACGCGGGTTAAAACAAAAACAAAAAAACTAAAATCGATCTTGAAACTCGAACTGAATTGAAGAAGCCTTCCGGGCGTGTGCGGAGCGACGCGCCGGTCATCGTGCCCACAAACGACACGCGGGACGATCCGAAGGCACGCACACGCACACAGACACGATCGGAGAGAGTTGTACAGCAGCGCAACCCCCCAAAAAAAACCGTACGCAGTGGCATCATCATCATCATCACCATCGTGATTAATAACATCATCGTTAACTCAACGATTCAATTCCTTCAAATAATTTACTGCAGATGCCCCCCCCCCCCCGCGGCCATTATTCAGTCCCCCCCACCCCCATGTCCCCCCCCCCCCCCAAAAAAAAACCCAGCATCTAAGCTTCATTAATCAGTCAGGTACAGAGATCACGTGTTCGGAACGCCAGTGATGAGCGCCGCGCTCGACGCATCGCGGGCGTGCGTGAATGCGTGTGTGCGTGAATGCGTGTGTGCGTGAATGCGTGTGTGTGTGCGTGCGTGTGTGCGGTGTGGGGAGCGGTGGCGCAGTGGTCAGCACACTGTCGCTGCGAACGCGGCGAGCCCGAGTTTCCGACTGCCGCTCACGACCAACGAGTGACGTGGCTGTGAATGTTTGGACCGGGTCCTGCGCCGCACCTTAGACGTCCTCGTGGACGTTTACTCGACCGTGAATTGACTATCCGGTGCGCGGTGTGTGTGTGTGTGTGCGCGCGTGCACAAAAAAAAACACCACCACCGGGGGAGACAAAGGCGGCCGGGCGTTGGCCACTCACCTAACCTCGTGTGCCGTGCCGGCCTTCTTCACGAGGAGCTCGCAAACAGTACTCGCCCCAACAGCAGCAGCCTGTTCGAGAGGCCACACCGGCAGCGGGCGGGTGGTCGAGGAGGGGAACAAATATTTGTCTTTGTGTATGTATGCGTGCGTTTCACCCGACGCTATATCCTCATCACAGGTGAGTCGTTTTCATCTTGGACACAACCTTCTTTTCTTTGACCCTGCGGTTCTGGAACCAGATGGTGACCTGGCGTTCGGATAAGCTGATGGCGGCCGAAATTTTCCTCCGCTTGTCCTTGGTGATGAACTTGTTGGCGGCGTACTCCCGCTCGAGTTCCTTCAGCTGCACCTTGGTGTAGGGGACTCTCTTCTTGCGGCCCCGGCGGAAGAGGCTCATCTCGTGAGGAGGTTGCGAGCCGTCTGCGAGAGGGCAACGCACGCGCGCGCACGGAGACACACGCACGGAGACACACGCACACACAAAAACAGATCCCCCGTGTAGCCTTAACCAGACTGCTGGGGCAAGTGCCGTTGGCGAGCAGCTACAAAAGGCCGCGAAAGGCGCACGAGGGGGTGGGTGGCCAGCATCACACCCGGCCGTCTTTGTCTCCCCAGTGGCCATGTTTACAATACTGCACCAGGTGCTCATTTGAGGCTGAGTCGATCTAGGGGAGGTGCAAGACCGGTTCAGATAACCGCCACCGATGTTAGCCGTGAGCGGGGAATCGAACTCGGGACGTCGGGTTCGTAGCGCAGTGCGCTAACCACGACAGCACCGCTCCCCACACACACACACACAAACGCGCGCACCCACATCGCTATGCATGTGCACGTTCAGAAATCATAATGAGACAAAGATCCTCCCGGGTGTAGCCTTTAAGCAGAACTGTTGCGGCAAGTGCTGTTACACACAAAGGGGAGTGGGTGGCCAACACCACGCCCGGACGCCGGGCCGCCTTTGTCTCCCCGGTGCTCATTTCAAGGCCGAGTCGACCCTAGGGGAGGCGGCCCGGGACCGGTTTGAAAGCTCGTCACTGATGTTGGCCGCGAGAGCGAATTGAACTCGGATCTACCCAGTTCCTTCAACAACAAAGACAAAGATCCCCCGTGTAGCCTTCACAGACCGTTGGGGGCAAGTGCTGTTAGCGAGTAGCACCTATGAAGGCCGGCACGGCACACGAAGGGGGTGGGTGGCCAACACCACGCCCGGCCGCCTTTGGCTCCCCAGTGGCGATGTTTACCCATCGCACCAGGTGCTCATTCGAGGCCGAGTCGATCTAGGGGAGGCCCATGTCCGGTTAAGATAATAATAATCGTCACCGGTGTTGGCCGCGAGTGGATTCAAAGCGTAGTGCGCTGACGGGTTCACTTCCGCTTCCCTCCCCCACACATCAATCACAATGCGCGCGCGCGCGCACACACACGAGCACATTAGACGTGCCAAGATGCAATGGATCGATCGATTCGAATCAATGATGATGCATGAGCTGAGTGGTGATAATTGTGCAGGTGAACATTGATTATTTGAAATTCGTGAAAGATGATCAATCGAATTTCGATTTAAAGCTTTCGTGACTGCAATGATTCATCTTCTTTGGTTCTTTCGGTAAAGTCACGTAGAATGAGAATAAAATAATAAATTGATAAAATAAAATAACACAATAATATTCTCACGGCGTTTCGGCCACAACACAAGCGGCTGTCCTACCAGACAGTCTCGCCCCCTTCACCTGATGAAGGCCGCTTGTGTTGTGGCCGAAACGTCGTGAGAATATTATTGTGTTATTTTATTTTATCAATTTATTATTTTATTCTCATTCTACGTGACTTTACCGAAAGAACCAAAGAAGATGATCAATCGAACCGCGAGGTGGCCGAGCGGGAGAGCGAGTGGCTCGCGAGTACAAGGCATCGACTCAGCCCATCATCCCTCGTGGGTCGTTAAAACTAGTAACCACTCTGTGGAGAAGTCAACAGCGGTTGTTGGCCTACGGGTAGACTCGCCTCCCCCCCCCCAACACCCACCCCGCCATAGCAATGTGGAATTTCCACCACCGACTCGAGATGAGCACCAATGCACATTCACTGATCATTCGCGCTGCGACTCGTTGCTAATAATGATATCATTGGAATGTTTGCGGCAAACGTCGTGCGAGACATTCCATTCAATCTGTCCATATGGAGTAAAATAAAAACAACACAAGCCGAGAGAAAACTGTACGTGAAGAATTAATTATTCAATAGAATTGTGATCATGAATCGTGGAAATCAATGTTGGCCTAATCCGTGGCGAAGAATCGATAGGTGCCCCACTTATATAGATAGAAAGACAAAGATCCCCCGTGTAGCCTCAACAGACTGTTGGGGGAAAGTGCTGTTAGCGAGCAGCACCTATGAAGGCCGGCACCACACACGAGGGAGTGGGTGGCCAACACCACGCCCGGCCGCCTTCGTCTCCCCAGTGACGATGTTTACAACACCGCACCAGGTACTCATTTGAGGCCGAGTCGGCCTAGGGGAGGCCCGGGAACCGGTTCAGATAATCGTCACCGCTGTTGGCCGTGAGCGGGAATCGAACCCGGGTGCGCCAGGTTCGTGGGGCAGCGCGCTAACCGCTGCACCACCGCTCCCCACTATCACACATGCACACACTCACAACAACGATCCCCCCCCCCCCCCACATGTAGCCAAGGTGCGGGCAGGTGCTGTCATGAGCGAACACCTCCAACGGAGGCGGAGTCATATACACTCAACATAGCCGCGTGCGAGTGATGTCAATTCTCACTATGTTCTAAAACAAGGGGGTTTTGGCAACCAACATATATATATATTTTTTAAAAAGAGTAAACATTTTAGTGTTGCGATCGAAACGTCGTGATCTAGTATTGTTTCTACCGAAAGAACCCAAGAGTATGTGGATTCCTGCAGTCACGAAAACTTCAAATCAAGATTGGGACGGCGGTGGTGGCCGCGCGAGTTTCCCGCCGCAGCTCTTGAAGGAGAAACCCCCACGCGGGTTCGGAGCCGCAGGTGCCCGCCGATCCCTGCGCTCTGAAGGCTCTGGGAGGCAGCAGTGCGTTAGCTTGGCACGCGATGCGTACGACTGACGGCCGTGCGTGGACGCGTGCATGTTGAACTTCTTTCGCACGGTACGTAGGCAACCCGCCGTGGTCATCGGAGGGCGAGCGAGTGATGTGAATTCTAGCGATGTCCTTAGACGGGCTGGAGAGATAGAGAGAGAGCTGGACATCGTAGCCCCGAGTCCTCTACTTTGTAATCCTAAAGAACGATCTGACAACAACAACGACAACAACAGCGACGACGACAACAACAACGGAGGTGTTTAGAATGTTGGGGGTCGCTAAAGCGGAGGCACGCGGAGGTCGCCGATTTGGTTTCACTCACGAACGGGGGGGGGGGGGGGACAGCCTCACTCAGCCTGGAGCTCCCCAACGCTGCTCCGAGTCTCAACACTCACGCGGGATACGAGACCCGTCAGCATCAGCAGCAGCCTCATCAGCAGCAGGAGTGGACCGAGTAAATCGCCTTCTCACGTGGAGTGTGACGCTGAAGGCGAAAGCAAGCGGACAGTGACGGTGCTGTTCGTTGCTGGCCCCTCGACGTTTTTTGGGGCCTTTGGGCCTGTGCTCAGGAACTGTGAACTCCCGAGTTACACTCGTACACATTGTGTGTACACACGTTGTGTATACACTCGTACACACATTGTGTACACACATTGTGTACACGCATTGTGTATACACTCTCACACATTGTGTACACACATTGTGTATACGCATTGTGTATACACTCGCATACATTGTGTACACACATTGTGTATACACATTGTGCATACACTCGCACACTTTGTGTACACACATTGTGTATACGCATTGTGTACACACTCGTACACACATTGTGTATACGCATTGTGTACACACTCGTACACACATTGTGTATACGCATTGTGTACACACTCGTACACACATTATGTACACACTCGTACACACATTATGTACACACTCGTACACACATTGTGTATACACATTGTGTATACGCATTGTGTATACACATTGTGTACACACATTGTGTACACACATTGTGTATACACATTGTGTACACACATTGTGTACACACTCGTACACACATTGTGTACACACTCGTACACAGTCGTATACACAATGTGTATACACTCGTATACACAATACGCTCGCATGTACAATATGTATACACTCCTATACACAATATGTATACACTCCTATACATATGCTCGTATACACAATACGCGCGTATACACTCGTATACACAATGCGTCGACGAGTGTATAAACAACGCTCGTATACACACTCAAATCTATACACGCCCACGCGTATACAGTACTCGTATATTGTAAAAAAAGGCAAAGATCGTCCGTGTAGCCTAACACAGTTTGTTGGGGCAAGTGCTGCGAGCACGCACCTATAAAGGCCGGCACGGGGTATCTTTATACATGAGGGGTGGCGCAGTGATTAGCGCACCACGCTGGGAGTTCTGTTTGCCGACCGCGGCTCACATCGGTTAGCCGGTCCTGGACCTCTCACCAACAAATACAAATATCCCCCCATGTAGCCTGCAACAGAGTGTTGGGGCAAGCGCTGTTAGCGAGGGGGTGGGTGGCCAGCACCACGCCCGACCGCCTTTGTCTCCCCAGTGCCAATGTTTACACACCGCACCAGGTACTCATTTGAGGCTGATTCGACCTAGGGGAGGCCCGGGACCGGTTCAGATAATCGTCACTGGTGTTGGCCGTGAGCGATGAATCGAACCCGGGTCGCCAGGTTCATAGCGCAGCGCGCTAACCGCTACACTACCGCTCCCCACGATACACACGCACACAGACACGCACTCGCACGTTTCACAAAATTATTTGTTCGCTCGCAGCAACATGCGCGCATGTTGTTTGTATTTTACACGTGTGTACATTTACATTGTTTCAACATACAGTATTGCTGTGTATTAAACATGTCTTGAAAATGTTAACTTTGTTGTCCTTCCCCCGCAACTCCAATTAGCACGGTTGGCTACGTACGTTACCATAAAAAATGTCAACATGAACTAAAGCTAAACATTTTTTTTTAATTTTAACAGGTAAGGCCCACTGAGCTATTGAGATCTTTTGAGAAGCGACCTGGCCACAAATGATAGTTCAACGAAGTGGTTTATCATCACATGGAAATTCATAGCAGCCAAATATTCCAAACCCGTGTAGTTTCTAAATGTGGAAGGAAAACCCGAAGTACCCGGAGAAAAATCCACGCGATCACGGGGAGAGAGAGACACGAAAACTCCAAATACACAGCAGGAGTCAGGGTGGGGATCGAACCCACGACCTCCTGTATACCAGGCGAGGTAGTTAACATTTCGCTACTCTGGCGTCCCTACAA